GAGAGAGAGAGAGAGCAAGTATTGATGCCGTGAAGGAACACTCCCACCTCCTCCATGGCATAGATCCACCTCTCAGCCATGGAACTGGCAAATGTGCAGCTACAACTCATTCACCACCTAACCCTCCTCTCCTTTTAAGCAGCTAGCTGTGCCTTTTAAGCAAATCTAACTTTTCCTCAGGTACTTTTTATCTTTTCTCTGGCCTCCTTAACATGGGCACTGATCAGTATCAGCGCTGTTCATCTCCTGCAAGCAAACATCAAGGAGAAGAAGACAAGCGACAACCACTTGAGCCAACACCAACCTCATGACCAAACCAATGACACCTGCTTCCAAATCCATGAACCAGATCGATGCTGAGGGAAGAAGAAAAAGAAGAGCGGAGTAATGCTAAAAATGCTTGGAGTTTAGAGACGACTGTTTTGCTTCTTCCAGCCTTCTCCTGACAAGCATCTTCTCCTTTTGGGAAAGGTCACAAAGGAACTCTTGATCTTTCCTTTTTTATATTACATTTAAGCCCCTCAACGATTGTTATTGGCAAAAACTACCTGCAAAATCCACTAATCCGGTTCGAGTCAATTCTGATCCAAAGACGGAAAATTTGAGCCGAAAATATGCCTAAATTGCATAATTTATGTACCTTTATCAGATTAATTGGCTTTAAGATCATGCATTTAATTTGGACCAGCATGAACCGTCTGATTGAGAGAACCGGTTTAGGCTTTTGAGGACCGGTTCGGTGAGTTTCTGGTCGTACAGGAATTATGTGAACGGTAAAACAATGAAAGATAGGGGCTTCTTTAGAAAATTGCGGTCTTTTTCTTTCCCTGCCGTCAATGGGGCCAGCTGGCTCTCGTGTTCCTTTCAGAGCTCGCCACGTACCCTATCACATGTGGCCGTGCCATTTTGACGTGGCCTCCACCACTCCCCACTTCCCTACTTATATACCTCCCCGTCTTCCTCGACCCACATCGCCGCGCACTCCGCCCACAATAACGCTCTGCTCGCAGCTGCTGCTCCTCCTCCTCCTCCGGTACTACTTTCCTCTGCCTCTCTCTCTTCTCTCTCGTACTAGTGCAAGAGAACATCAGCAACAAGAAGATGCCTTCCGATTGTGAGCAAGATATTCGGAGTAATGGTGACAGTGATGGAGGAGTCGTTGCCACCCGAAGCATGGACTCCATCTTCTCGACTGCTTCTTGCTTTCCCCTCACTCTGCAAGTACTACCTCGAACGCCATCCATCTTTCTTTACCTCTGTTGATTCTAACATACGTGATCTGCAAGCGAAGAAGTTGATCGTGCCTAATCGTCTGTGTGGCTGGTTTGTGTAGTTCATCGATGTCTCGTACTCTGTCAAGCTCGCCCCGATGTCGGGTTCCACCGGTAGAGGGATTAAGTGCATGTTTAACTCCGCGGGAAAGTCCACTGCAGCTACTGAAGAGAGAGTTATCCTCAGTGGCATCAGCGGCGTGGTGTCTCCCGGTGAGATGCTGGCTGTACTTGGCCCCTCCGGCAGTGGGAAGTCCACTCTGCTGAGCGTCCTCGCCGGGCGGCTCCAGGGGAAGCACGCCGGCGCGGTGCTCGCCAACGGCCGCAGGCTCACGAAGGCGGTCCTGCGACGCACCGGCTTCGTCACGCAGGACGACGTACTCTACCCGCATTTGACGGTGCGGGAGACCCTGGTCTTCTGCGCCATGCTCCGACTGCCGGGGACGGTGGCGAAGGCGGAGAAGGTGGCGGCGGCGGAGGCGGTGATGGTGGAGCTGGCGCTGACCAAGTGCGCTGACACCGCAGTGGGCGGCCCGTTCATCCGGGGGATCTCCGGCGGGGAGCGGAAGCGGGTCAGCATCGGGCACGAGATGCTGGTGAACCCGAGCCTGCTGGTGCTCGACGAGCCGACGTCGGGGCTGGACTCCACTGCGGCGAGCCGGCTGGTGGCGACCCTGGGCGGGCTGGCGAGGAAGGGGAGGACGGTGGTCACGTCGGTGCACCAGCCGGCGAGCCGCGTGTATCAGATGTTCGACTCCGTGCTTCTGCTCTCGGAGGGTAGCTGCTTGTACTTTGGCAAGGCCAAGGACGCCATGGACTACTTCGGCTCCCTTGGCTTTGCTCCAAAGTTTCATGTCAACCCTGCTGACTTCATGCTCGACTTGGCTAATGGTTAGTATATCCAAATCAATTCCCGCTGCTCATGCTCTGTGCTTGGCATCTACTGTTGTGAAAGATATTGCTGTTCTTATTCCTCTGTCTCTTTAAACACTGTAGCAATATCACCTCTCATCAGATCTCTTATCGGATTGTTTGGAATCAAAGCGGCCCTTGACGAAGTGAATGTTGTCCTTCACTGCATCACTTTGAACACCCAATAAACTACAGAACAGCATTGGATCTGTAGAACAACCTCCTCCTCTTCCACACAGTCTTCTTGCTACCAAGTATCCTTATTAGAGCTGTAATCTTTGTATGCTCTGAGTCGGGATGGCTTTGCTCGATGAGCACTCAGAGGACACGTGGTGGGGATAGTGGGAGAATAATGGTGATATCAACGACTACTATACGTGTCTGGTGGAAGTAAAAGGTTGGAGGAAGTCTGCTTTATCACTTTTCGGTGCGCTTTTGCGGGGAATTGACTCAACTTTGGCCTATCCTTCGCCATCTCATTACCGGAGATGAGATGTGCTTTCAGATTTTTCCATGGCTGCTCAGTGCTTCAATCCTTTTCCCATTTAGTTTCTGTTCTTTTGGTTTGACTAGACTTCGTAGTTTCGATGGCCGTTCTTAGTAAAACATTTGACCTCATGAGGAGTCGGTCAACGGGAGAAGCTTTGAGCTCCTGTTCATGAACGGCTCTTAGATCTTAAGTAAGGTCTTCTGTTGCAGGGGTTACTCAGATGGATCACCAGGGTGATGCAGAGAAGTCAACCGTGAAGCAGTCTCTGATCTCAGCTTACAACAGAGTGTTGGCACCAAAGGTGAAGGCAGCGTTGACCGCTGTTGTCCCCGGAGATGCAACCCTGTCAGGTAAAGATGTGTCGAGGGAGAGAGGGAGGAAAGGCCATGGCAGCATCAGCTGGATCAGCCAGTTCTCCATCCTCCTCCAGAGAAGCCTCAAGGAGCGGCGGCACGAGTCGTTCAACTCGCTCAGAGTGTTCCAAGTCATGGCGGCGGCGGTCCTCTCGGGGTCGATGTGGTGGCACTCCAGCGCCCGCGACGTGCAAGACCGGCTCGGCCTCCTCTTCTTCATCACCATCTTCTGGGGCGTCTTCCCCTCCTTCAACGCCGTGTTCACCTTCGCGCAGGAGCGAGCGATCTTCATCAAGGAGCGATCCTCGGGCATGTACAGTCTCTCCTCCTACTTCATGGCGAGAATGGCCGGCGACCTGCCGATGGAGCTCATCCTCCCCACCGTGTTCACCCTCATACTCTACTGGATGGCCGGGCTCAGGGCCGAGCCAGCGGCCTTCCTCCTCACGGTTGCAGTGCTGCTCGGATACGTGCTGGTGGCGCAGGGCCTCGGGCTCGCTTTCGGTGCGGCGATCATGGACGCAAAGCAGGCGTCCACCATCGCCACGGTGACGATGCTGGCGTTCCTGCTCACCGGCGGATTCTACGTGCAGAACATACCGGGCTGCTTGGCGTGGATGAAGTACGTCTCCTTCACCTTCTACGGCTACAGGCTTCTCATCAGCATCCAGTACAGGGGCAACGAGATGGATTACTATATTCACAGGAAGGGGAGGGAGGAAGAAGGCGATCTGGTGGCGCAGGTGGACGCTTCGGTGTGCATCGTAGCTCTGATCGCCATGCTCGTGGGGTACAGGGTCTTGGCCTACATTGCTCTCAGGCGCACCAGTGCTTGACATGCCCGACACTCCGATGATGGTGTCCGTGGCTTATCTACTACAATAAAAAAGAAGAAGAAGAAGAAGAAGAAGAAGAAGAAGAAGGAGACACGAGGAAGCTCGTGAAGTGAGCAAGTGTACATTGGATTGTGAAAACCCAAACATGGTTAGGAATCAAGAGACAAATCGATTAGAGTGCTTGGCGGCTGTACATTGCAAGGAAGAAGAAGGGTGCTTCTCTGTTGTGTCACTTCACAGTCATCGCTCTCTTAATCTCTCAGTGACAGAGCAGCTGTTAATCGTTAATAGTGTTTGGTTGTGCCAAATTAAGAGTAATGATGATTACTAAACACTCTGCATGCTAATTGTTGGTAGTGTTTGGTTGGCGTTTCTTTTTAGTCTCATGACATATATTAATATCTTTACCGACTGAGCTCTGACTATTATTTTTTACTCATATATATATAATAAATAATATGATAAAAATAATGAGAACATGTCAAATAAATGTCAACATGAACTTCGAGAAATCCGATAACTCTTAGAATTTTGGGTCAAGTGATCTGAGATCCATCAAATTAATGGATAAATTAGATGATCATAGATCTCATCAAACATGGAAGCATATTTCAATTGTCAAATGGTTATCATTGGATACCATATGATGGTTGACGTGAGAGATGAGATATGTCCCAAAAGGTTGACCAAAGAGAACTAGAAACGTCGGGTCAAAATCACCTAACAAATTCTATGATGCTTTAGACGTACAGTCATTTTGACTTCTCTATTATGAGTAGGGTATCCTAACAGAGTAAAAGAAATTAGTATATATTATTAATAAAATAATGGAGTTCGGTTAATATTTAATAGACACTGTCATATCAATTTTCGGAAAAGAGAAAGGGTTTACTATATAGCATAGCACTTAAAAGAAAATATTTTTCTTTTGAAATAGTTCGATGAAATTTAGATGGCTAATTATAAATTACCTTTATAGTTAGATCTCCTTAGCATCTTAATCCTTAAATTAAAAAAAATATATTGAAATATCTATAGTTATGAAAATGAAACATATAGATTCATTTATCCTAACGTCATCAGTTTTATCAATGAAAATAATAGATAAAAATATAATTTCAGTTGATGATGACGTACGATATCGATGGTGACGAACGATGGCATCGTTTGGGGCCACCATTGGCTATTGTGAATGAGGAGAGTGACGACAAGATATGAGGGCTACTCTGTATCTATATTGACGCTGACGCAATTACTAAGCGGGCCTTTCATTGCTCTATATTTGCATTAGCGTCGATGCAATTGTCGAGCGATAAAAAAATTGCTCAGTGTCGGTGCTGATGTAAATATAGGCTGATGTCACTCGATAATTTTGTCAACATCAACACAAATGTAGAGCGACATTGCTCGATATCTACATCGACGACCCTTTCATCGCTCGACAATTGCAACAACATCGATAAAGGTGCAAAATGACAAAAGGGCTACTTGGCATTTGTATCGACATTGATGTATATACAAGGCAATGTCACTCTAAATCTGTATCAGCACTTATGCAAATGTTGAGCAACCCTTTTACCACTCGACAAGTGCTTCAACACCGACGTAGATATAGAGCGGTTCTCATCTTTTATCATCGTTCTCCTCATTCATAGTAGCCATCTATCTAGCGGCACTCTTGTCTACTACCATTAATGTCATCTGTCACCACTAATTAGAATATTAAAATTTATCTTTTTATTTACTATTTTTATGTTTTCATCGATAAATCGATGATATTAGAGTAAATGGACATAAATATTTTCCTTTCATAACTATAAGTATTTCAATATAATTTTTTTAAGTTTGAAAATAAAGATGCTAAGGAAATCTATAATTAATTTTTTATAAGTAATTTTTTTAAGTCTAACTAGATAGGGAAATATATAATTAGCTAAGTTAAAAAAAAAATTGATTGATTTGATCATAAAAATGACTTTATTAGATGTATTTAGACACGGATGAGATAAATAATACGTGATATAAATATATCCAAAAGAACCTTTTTCAAATATAATAATTCAAAATTATATTGCATTAGATTAATTTTATCAGGTTGGATTGGCAATCAAAATTAATCATATTAAGAACTAATGATTTTTTTGGTCTTATTTTATCAAATTATATACGTTTTATTCTAGAGAAATTACCACCAATTGAGTATTATTTTTTTGATAGTGACCTTAGAGCCTCAATTCAATCCATCCCAATCAGATCCACTTTGACGTTTATTTCTTCTACGACACGACATATTTCGTCTTGATTAGACATACAAAATTAACCTCATCGAGGTTAAGAAGAAGTACACGTTGGATCGATTAATAATTATCGATTTTTATAGATCCTTATTTCTCTTGAAAGTAAAAAAAATAGACTTTGATAGTAAAGTTTAAAGGATTTGATAGGTGACCAATGATCTAACCGATAAATCAATGTCACGCACATCAATCGTCTGAGGTGACGATTGACAATACGACTCCATGTTTATGACACATGATCGACATATTCATTGTTAGAGGCCACATATTTCAAGATTGAGTCAAACCAATCAAGATATGTCTCAGATTCGATGCACCTTGATGTCACATTCTAATTCGATGTACAATCACTCTTCATATCTAAGATAATATTCTGGAAACCTCATAAAAGAAAATCAAAGAGCTTTTAGGTGAATGAATATTTATTGAAAATACTCCTGTCTTGATTTTACGGGTTCGATGCTTTTAGGTCCATAGTTCGCTTTTAGACCGATACATGATAAGATATATTTTGGGTTAAAGTCACAATCATAATTGATGTCATACTACGCTATAGCCGAGTCAATAAGGGGAGCACCCCTACACGCTAAGTTAGAATCCGTACTGAGACGCTGTTTGGCATGTCCCATCTCGGAAGCTTGGGGCGATGCCGTCTGACGTTGTCCCACGCGTCCCAAGCCAGCGATCGCACAGTACCATCTCATCCCCCGAGGATCAGCTGCCACGTCGAACTCGCGTGCGACCAACCCTCGCACAATAATATAAAAGCCCATGGCCGACATCCGGCCAAGAGAGAGGCCACAAAAGAGAAGAAAAAAATAACTACTGACTTGCTCGTTAGAGGAGCCAAAGTCGGGAATCACCCGACGAAAGCCATTTTTGCAAACAAGCGGCCACCCCCAAGTTAGGAGTGTCTCAACTTGGGAATCCCCATCCAGTGAATGAGGGCGAGCACCAAACCAGCCCGAGAACGGAGAGACGTTGCTCAATGCAGACGATGCCCGGTTCGAGAAATGCTGATCACCACCCCGTTGCGAGGGCCCGACCTACCTCGACATCCAACTCACCCGACGGAAGACTCCCAATATCGACCCGTGGACCGAGCACTCACCAGCCACAATACATCTGTTCACCAACAATAAAATTGATTGGCTATAAAATTGATTCTATTTCGGACAATATAAAACTAGATTAACAAGATTGAATTTCATCCTTATAACTTATGAAAAAAAAAAATCCACCCCAAGGCAATTGAAGAATAATCTTCTTTTGATAGTGAGACTCACATTGCAGAGCAGATGGGGCCCTCCACTATTTATTTGATAGCAAGATTGAAGGATGAGTGCCATCCTCATGACTTTATTATCATCTACGAAAAATAAATAAAAAAACATATATTCACCCAAAAGTAATTGAAAAAAAGAAAATCTTATTTCTACAACGTGACTCACATTGCCGGAGACAGGTGGGTTCCGTGTTCTTCGCTGAATTAACGCGTCAGGGACACGATCCTTCATCACTCATGTGGGCACACATGCCGCTCGCCCATTGCATCGTTCTTCATGTCATAAGGAAGGAAGGGGTCGCAGTTAAGACCGATTGTGAGATAATTAACCACGTCTAATTAAATATGGAAGCAGGAAACCTTCTTTTCTTAATCCAACATCATCACTACAGTTAATGCAGCATATTGGTGTTAGAACGTTGATTAGCCGACACGTCTAAAGTCTGAACAAGCAAAAGACTTTGGAGAGAACAAAAATGAGAGATGGGGAGGGGAGGAGGCCAAGTGAGACCTTTTGTCGTCGTGGTGGTCTGAGGAGGGAACGCATCGCCACCAGAGAGCGGAGATGGGGCGGCGATGGTGGCCGCCGGCGCGGAGGAGGGCCTGCCTGATACTGGCCCTGGTCTGCTGCTCCCCGGTCCTTATCCCCCTCGCCTGCCTTTCCTTCCCTCTGCTCTTCATCGCCGGGCTCTGCCTCCGGGTCGGGCGGCGGAGGCGGAAGCCGCGGGGCTGGGAGGGTTCTGGGATCTTAGGCCGGTGCGAGGACGACGAGGAGGCGGCGGAGGGGCGGCTGCTGCACCGATACCTAGAGGACCAGTTGGGCCTCGTCGGAGCCGGATTGCTCCTGGACTGCGACGGCGGCGGCGGCGGTGGAGATTAAGGGCGCCTAAATAACCACCCTCCCCAAAAAGCACTTCTTTTACAGAGAAAATTGGAGCGAAAAGGAACGGAGTGAAGTTTGTTTGTTTGTGTTATGTTGCAGTAAAAGGAACAGAGAAATGTAGAAAACAGTGCGAGCATGCAAGAAAATGAAAGAAACAAAAACGTCGTTGGTGGGTAAAAGACAAATTTTTTTTTTGAGTTTATTAAAATCATATGTAAATCCTTTTTTTTTCTCTATACGCTTTATTAATTAATTATCTTAGAAAGGATATTCATCTTCTGAATATTGAACCAAATTGGTTCTCGAAAATACTTGCTTTTGCATATTAATTTTTCTATGATTAGAGCAATTTTGATGCAAAAAAAAAAAAATCCCTAAATCGCCATTAAAAGAACTCTTTCTGCGTTGGTTGTCTAAAATTTTGTGAGGTAGTCAACCAAACAATCTCCAACAAAACAGATTGATCAAAATGGTGAGATCAGAGTAACTCAATGCAGCGTAAAAATGCTTCTCGTTGTCAGTGGATAGAGATTCTTCCAACAATTCAAGCAGTGATACACATGAAGCAACAAGCAGTGCCTTTGGAGACTGGTGATTCCAACAGTACTGATGAAACATACAATACTTCTCCCAGTTCTGCATGCGGTATGATCAAGCATTTGAATCCTTTATGAATCTGAGAGCAGTTGACCAACCACCATTGCCCAACTAGAGGCGTGTGCTTATTGTTCATGACTGGAAGCAAAGATTGTTGAGAATGAGTTCAGGTCCCTATTTACATCAATCTCCGAGTAACCGGTGAACAGTAATCAATAGTTGAAGACAGTAGCAATCGTATCACAAGAAGCAGAATAGTCGGTTTTCAGTTTGATACTACAATGAGAATAAAAGTCAGGCAACAAACAATTGCTTCTGTCCTAACATTTTTGACGGTGTCGTTCCGAGAAGTTCCCGGAAAACCAACATAAAAAATGTGTGAGAATATGGTCTGAGTGCACGTTCATCTTAACCATCATACTGTTCGGGTGAAGCGAACAAGCACCTCTGAAGACTCGTGATCAGTGAGGAAGGTCATGCAATGGGGTATGCAACAAGAGATCTGATCTGAGCAACGAGTGTACATAAGTTGAATATATTTACTGAATCTGCTCCTAATGATATTTCTACATAAAGTGATTCTAAGTGTAAACAATATCCAACAATTAGTATTCATCTATATACAGCTGCAATATAGCTTGTTTTCTTCAATAGTGACAGCAGACTTGGAAGCACTTGCACAAAGACATAACTTGTCCCATATCAAATGGTCAACTTGTTTTGCTTGCCTCCGGTAGTAATTGAACTATTATCATCCTGTTTTACAGTAGCCAGAATAAATATTATTGAAAACAATTAAAATGATCCATGACATGGAGTGAAAGTTTCATTCAGAATAGAGGTTCTCTAGGTAACAATGCAGTAGATAAAGCTATGATATTAAAACACTTCAGTGCATAATTAAAAAAAAAAATCATCGAGTTTATCTGAAACTCCATCAAGTTAACCCAACTCAGCAGCATCTTGAGGGTCGTGCTCGACTCAGCTAGCTACAACTTGGAGTCAAAACTCGAGCTGTACTCAGTATGGCCCGACGAGTTTCTTAAAATGAGGTTGATGAATTTGGAACGAGTATTAGTGTAGCCTCATCTATTAGAAATATGGCGGTAAAAGTGTTATATTGTTATTTTCCATCATTGAGCTTTTTATTAGAAGAGAAAGCTATTTCTAACATAAATGCCCTTTGTTTCTATTTTCAATTGCCTCTATGGAATAAATGGGCCCTCTTTAAAAAGATAACATCCAGGGGTACTCTATGGACTTGCCAGGAGTAATTTGCCCTGACAAAGCAGAGACCAGTAGTAAAGAGCAAAGTTGAACACATACATATGCTGATTGATTGATGATAATCATAGAAAATTAATGTTTAAAATTTTTTAGAGTACAATGAAAGATCAATACAATCAATTTCAATCGCTTGCTATGAGAACTTGAGGTGGATTATCGAGTGCAATACTAGTCGATTGCAAGAATTATGTAAATGTTTTTACTAGTCAAAATTGTTCATGGGATACCTATGGTGAACTTTTTCAGATGAAAAGATTAAATAACAACGTAAGAAATTGAACTTGCTATATCTATGGAATTTCCTGCAGCCACTAGCAAGCCATTTCATAATGATTCAAATTGACATCTTGACTATCATACATCAACATGTACCATATTGATAATTTGGGAAATTAACCAAATGATAATAAGCAAGAAAAAGAGAGAATAAAATATCAACAATATTTGCAATCGATCTTCAAGTGATACTCAGAGAATAAAGACAAGCAACTCAAATCTAGACTATGAAACATCATGTATATGATGCCTAGAGGTATTGACATAATTCAAATCCTCCAAAATATATAAAGAAACCATAAAAGGGGCTCAGTGTAGTTGTAGCTTACGCAATTTTGTTTGCAGCATAGAATACTTGAAGCTTTTTTGGTCCCCCTCCTCTAAATGATCTTCTTACCGAATTAACAACTTGTTCTAAGTGGGTGCCTGCTGCTGTCAAAACGAACTGCAAAACCATTTGCTCGAATGACCATCTGAGACATAAGCAAGGAATATACAAAAGAGAAAATGCTGCATTTATTTTGCATCATTTGATCACTCTTGAATTATACTGACAAAGTTTAAGGAAATCAGTTACTTGTTTGCTTGGATCAGAAAAAAAGCACGAAACATCTTGCTAATAATAAACCACAATTATGCATCCACAATCTTTAAACTGAAAGCAGAATTTTAATACTAGATGTACCTCATGGTACGGCCAGGTATTATCTGTTCATTAGGGGACTAGCATGGCAATCAGACGATTTTGTTCAGTCCGTTTCGAAATGGTGTGTACTGGATGGTGCACTCGTTTCATGTGTAAAGATCGAAATATAGGAGGCAATTACATACTACCGGTTTTCTAATTTTTAAAATTTTTTTAAAGGGTCAATCAGTCAACAACCATTTGCTGTCATAAACAACTTTTTGGCTGTAAACAGCAGTTGACAGTTGTAAACAGTTGTCAACTATCTGTTTAATTCCTCTCCCTGTCTCTGCCATGCCTCCACCTCCGCCAACTTGGCATCCACCTCCTCCACCCTCGACATCCACCTCCTCCTGTCATCACTGCCTCCATCAAAGCTGTTTCCTCCTCTTTAATTCGGCATTACTACCTCCTCCTCTCTTCATTTTTCCTCCAGCTGCTCCTCTCCTCCGCCGCCGCCTTTGTCTCCTCCCTTTCCTCCTCCTCCTTTTCCTTCTCCACATCCCCTCTTCTCTCCCGTTTCCTCTGTAGTCCAGTCCAGGCAGCACTAACCTGTATGGTTGTTGTCGGTCTATACTGTGACCATACTGATCCAACCACTGTTTGTTATTGGCACCAAACCGAGTTTTTAAACCTTGATTGCAAGAACTTTAAATTAAATGGGTGAATGGAACCTATGTTATAGTAATTTAGCTCAATGATAACCAAACACATGGCTATCTTGTGAAAAGATCATAAAAACGTCAAATAAGGATAAACACCTCATATAGAAGCAGTGAATTGTAAGATATCTCACTTGTCTTGCATTTTTGTGAAATGCTACCACTAATCAATAAACTAAATACTAACTGGTCAATTTACTTGATGTCCAAACTTGCGAATTGTTCGTCAGTTTATGCTCTACTGACATGCAAATTGTCATACAAGAAATGTCGAGTAGATAACATGGAAGGGGTCACGAAGAAGAAAGTAGCAACATAAAGACAGAAAAGAATATTAGTGTTGAAATAAATACTTCTGGGCATACCAGGGGATAAAGTATAGCCATAACACCATAGCTGACAAGGGGAGAGAAAAAGAAAATTGCAAGGACACATGGACTACCTGGAATAATTATCACATCAACATGTTAGAATCCACAAAAAGTGGAATATCAGAAGTGATGAGTTCAAGTAAGAAATTGATCAAGAGCTGATATTATCAAAATAATACACAAAATCACTATTGAATTAATTTTATCTCTAGGTTCTGTTGATTAGATACATTTTTAAAATATATAACAAAGTTAAACAATAAGTCACTGTAACTATAGGTTTCATGAAAAAAAAGTACCTGTAAATTGTTAACAATTGAATAGGCTAGAGTTAGACTGTCCCAAGAACTTCAAAATTTGTATGAATTAAAGTGTTACTATCATAGGATTCTAGAAATGTAAATGATGAAACTAAGAGTTCTAGTATTAACAATTATGATTACACAAACCTACATGCAACAAAATTCCTAGTATACAATGCTGATGTTGAACTATATGAAACTGTCGGGTTTAGTGTTTATATTTTTTACATATATGCTATGGATATTGGTTATAAGCTAATTTTATTCAGCACATGCAGCTTTAAACAAATTTAATGACCTTTTTAGTTCAATTTTTCAAATTGAACTAAGTTCAAAGCCAAAAATGATGTGTAGCATCAGCACTAAAATAATTTTAAGACATACATATATTGTGAAGTGGCATGAATAAGAATTAATATTTAAGAACTAACCAAGTCGAATAATAGGGGGAGAAACGTACCAAATCCTGCAAAAAATGGCCAGTTGGATTCAAAAAAGTCAAGCCTTCTGTTCAAGCTCACTTTAGAATGGTTCCACTTGTACCTTGCATATGAAGGAAGAACAAAAAAATACCAGTCTCTAAATATTTTCATACAAATCCTTTTTAATTTATATTTCCATGCACCCTTAGCCCAAAAATGATTAGAAAAGGCTCGGTGATACTGAAATAAGACTAGAAATGAAATGTATTTTCACAAAAGCAATAATGATAACTAAGTTATTCAAACATCTGACACGTACTCGAAACAGTAGTAAGCATACATCCAGGAAAGAAGCAGAAAATTTATTGCCTTTCCAAAATAAGGAATGAAACCAGTTGCAAAAACCTGCAATGCATAATACAAACATGTCGCTGTAAACATGACAATAAGAACACAGAACACAATACATAAGGCAAACTAAATTACAGTGACATGAAACAATATATAGATTAGTAAATACAAAGGCATTATCAAAAGACTGAATAAACACTAAGTAGAAAAAAGCGCACCACTGCACCTCTATGAAGAAGATGGTCAGCAGAAGGATGGAATAAACCTGTTCACCAATTCCAATACAGACACTGTTCAATGATCACGAACTATTAGCACACCACAAATGTCATGTGCACTCTGGTGATGAGTTAAATTCACATGGAAGCTCAGAACCTAGAGTGTTATAGAGAAATACCTATCAAAGCCACCTGGTGTGAATGAATTACTAGTGGTCTGCAAGCCTGTCAAATCATTTTCTCTAGATGATTGTGCTGCGGAAGGTCTTTTACCTGTCAGTACTTCATAAGCATGCTTGGCAATATCATTGTACCTGGTTTATCAGCAGCCATATAGAAGCCTATAATCAGGACCTACAAACTTATGTAAGAGTGCAACAGTGGTGGATCAATTCTAAGATTATATGACCCGATGCAAAATCAAGGACAATCTCCTGGAATAACTTCAATGCAATGCATATCTTTATAAAGAACTTAAAGACTACCTTTGAATATAATCGACCACCATAGCACTTGTATTTATCCTTGACTGATATTATCCAACTCAACATCTTAATTTCAGTTACATTAATATTTTCAATATGTTTCTTTCGAACTGCCTAAGATTTGCATCAAAAGAGCAAATTTGATCTTATATTCAACTTTTAAGATTCTCTCCATTAGAGGTATTTGATAGCCATATATAATGATAAGTCAGGTCTCTATTTTGACAATATTGTTTTGTTGTATAAGCAATTGTTAGAATTAACCCCCTAATTAGAGTTTCTCAAATTTGAAAAGGATAAAGTCCTCCCATAGATCTAAGCTAAAGGGAAATTAAAAAATTTTGTTTCTAGAAAAAATAGCAAAGAAGACAAAGGCAGTTTAAAGAGGCTTACAAGTGTTATTTATTAAGCCACTATTGCCCAAATCCTAATAGCAACAACCAATAGCTAATTAAGATAATATTGTGCACCAAAACATTAGTATGTTTCTCCTTTTCCATTGAGAAAGATTAGACTTTTTGTGCTTGTAGACTCTCAGGGTAAAACTGGTGACAGATATGAGGTATCATGCAGGACTGGGACAGGGCTACTCAAGTACATGGTCATCATTAGTTTCATTGAAACTTAGTCAAGTGATATCACCAAATCAGGGGGATTCTTAATCTCTGTTTCTGAATGGAGGATACTCCAACATGAGAGTTGTTGACTCATCTGAACCAAAGCAGGAGGGTCAAGCAGTCCGCTTCCTTAGCTGTGTCTTATAGGTCTCCACTGTAACAGCTATATCTTCTATGATCTCACCTGTTTTTTAATAAATTCTTTATTTACCTTTTGGTTAAAAAATATGTCCAAAGGGTTGAGAGATTTCAATTTTGGTAATTCTTGATCATCTACTTCAAACATTCCTTCAGTTCTTGACATATAACTAAAGCCACACTGCAATTTTTTGTCATTGCTGCATTGATTCTCAAACCTTTATTGCAAAAAAATGACTCATTTAGATTTATCCCAAGTCCAATGTCATTAACAATTATTTAAGTGTTATTAAGTGGAATTCAGATTCCACATCAAGGGCCTATTGTCTGACCTAATTTGTTAAAATCTTGAGTTGGAATGTTGAGTAATACCTCAACTGTAATAGAATTAGGGAACAATGTCAAACTATCAAACTCTAAGTCTTCTAGATGAGGACTGGGTGTATCAAGGAAAACTCAAGCCCCTAACTATTTTTTTAGAGGAATCTTGATTCTCATGTTCATGTAAACCATGATTCACAGGAAGGACTTTCCAGGCAATCTCAGTCGCTTCAGTAAACCAAGGATTGCCTTATTGCAGCAGAAACACATGACTGTTTGATAGTAGGGATGTACATATCATGAATGTGCCATGGCACAGGAATTGTTCCATCATGCCATTGTCACTTCCCCATTGTCTCTATTGGCATGCTACAAAGGTCCTGTGTTGATACCATGTCAACACCATACAATCCAACTGGCACAATCCATGGGTTTAATTATAATGAAAGCCACACCAAGGTAAGAATAACTTTTATTATATACAGAATCAAGACATAATTAGAGTGAATTTCAAAAGTTGATATTTGTCCTGCTAGTTTAACAGTTTAAATACAGGTGCCACTTCTTAATACTGACAACAATAGTTATACAACCATATAATTTTGCTGCTAACAGAAATGATTAATCCAAATGATCGGTACCACATGATTATGATAAAGATGTCATCCTTTTGCTGTCACTTCAAGATTTATTCTTACCAATAAACAGAGTTGGCAAAAAATGGACTAAATGAAAAGCTCCTAATACACATACTAAAAAAAATTTACCATCATAACACTTCGCTATGTTTCTTCCAGAAAACCTTTAAGCTCAATGTGATATATGGTCACTCTGATCACATATTCAAGGTTTTGTTCTTTACCATTTGATATATGGTCATAACTTCATATTTTGGACCATTTACCAGCAAATATCATACCCAGTGAATCCCAAAAGACTACTACAACAGTGATAATTAAAATTGATATAGCAAATACAAGAGTAGCAGGTTCAAGAACTTTATGATTTACATGAAATCTGAAAACCACAAGATAAGAATAAGACTTACCAGAGTGTACTCAGTACAAAGCTGAAAATGTAAAGAGGGTAGAACCAGAAAATCTGAAGAAAAATGCAACCAAGAAAAATATCAACTAAACATGAGCAGACAAAAAATTGATGTCTATGTTTGTTATTGTAATAAAAACATGTAAAAAAGAAAGAAAATGCAGACAAATGCATTTATATATTGCATTGTTATAGTTTGCTTTAACAGTTTAATCAAGTTAATGATTCATCACTTTTAACTGTACAAATGAACGAACCTACAATTTGTATCATAAAGAATGTTTCTTCAACTTTTTTCCAAATACTGGTAGAAAAAATATAACATTTATAATCTTATTGCACATGAGAGAGAAGAAACTTAATAAAAATGTAAAACTAGAACATCTCTGAATAAATAAAAAATAAAACCAGAAGGCCTAACTGATTCTAGAAGTTCTACAGTAAGATAACAATTACGCTAGTGACCTCAAGTTTATCACAACTCTAATGGATGTTGAACAAGAAAATATGCTCTCCTCCCTCTTAACTTCACACAATAAAACAACATTTTCAGAATTTCTTCCAAGCTCCCTTTAGAGCTAAGATCTTCAACCAAGGTGTAATAAACTTTGAAGTTTCGAGACATTCCACATACTCATGTTGTGTGCGTAAATGTGTGCGTAAATGCATATATAAACCTTGAATAATATAGTTGGTTCATCATGGATGCCTCCAAGGTCATTCAGGCAGTATAAATTTACCAGAAACTTCTCAACACATGTAACTAAAACATTGTACTGTGGTGAAAATGTTGGTTGATACCTATTAAAATTTTACCAACTCAAATGAACGACATAAAGTTAATTTAACATCAACAAGTATAAAACATGAATTATAACAGAACTAAACAAATAACTAATAAGATAGCTAATAATAAATTTTATAAAGTGCATCATGGCAAGACTTACGTAAAAAAGCTCAATGAGAATGAAGCGTAAGAAGGAATATAGTGCTAAAGCAGCTTTGTGGCAAGAAAGATGTTCTGCAGCAAACTGTTCAGTTTGATCAGGTAGAATCCACAGCAGAATTGGGATGACCACAGACTTCAGAATAAATAAACTGCAACCGAGAAACACATGATATAAGATAGTCAACATAAAGAAGTTTGACAAGGTAAGTATAACAGAAATTACTCCAACACCGACAACAGGTGCCATCAAGTCTTTTACATTAAGAACAAGATAGAATATTTTTTCGTTAGCTTTAAATCAACAATTTATATACAACAATTTTAAATAGTAGCATCTAGCCGAAACTTATTAGGGCAGCAAGTTGCAAATTCTTCATAACTGAACAGGGAAAAGTTGCAAGCAGGGACTAATTATCCCTTTGAATAAACGAATTTGTCGTACTTACAAAGATGACAATAAGGAAATGAGAGGGATTGCAGAAATAGGTTAACTTCCAACAGGAGAAAAAGAATCACCATAACCCACATAAAAAACAAGCCAACTCAACAAATTACAACGTCGAAAAGTTTAGGGTGACAACGATACCTTCCCAAGAAGATGAGCCCGTTCAGGAGGAAGCACTGACCGGTTCTGATCAACAGCGGCCTCGATCTGAACCAAGAGCACAAGTTACGATCGGGAAAGTACCCTCCGGCAACTTGAGGATCACGAATCGTAATTGAGCGACTGAAATCAAAACGATTGAGGAGGAGGAGGAGGAGGAATCGAAGAAAAACCTAATGCAGAGGATTACGACTCTGTGGAGGGAGCAGGCTTCCTTGAATCCCGCGAGCCAAAGGATCCCGGCTTCCTTCGCGTGCATCGCCAAGGACGACGCCATCGAGAAGAACCCGCAAGCAATCAGAGAGCGGAGAAAGATGGGGGAAATACGTAAAGTAGGCGGTAAGCCGTCCACCGGTTATTCGAGTCCGGTCCGAGTCCTAATCTTTCTTCTCATGTAAAGATCGCAATTCCGACTGAATCACCCATGAAATATTTTCGGGGGGGCGAGTGTCACTGATGATGCGTGGGACCCACGAGAATGACCATACGGTCTTTCAGAGGTGGACTCACCCTGGAAATTTTCCACGGGTGATTCACCCGGGCTGGCGTTGGGGACGTCTCGGACGCAAGGATGATTAGGGTAGTTAACTGTTTACACGATTTTGGTGAGTACCGGTGTCCCGACCCAGCCCCTTTTTTGTGGGCCACGTCAGACTACCTGGAGTTAAGTCGTTCCTCAGGTCGTTGCGAGAAGCAGCTGTCGCCAGCCGCACGTCATCACGCCCATCGTCTCGATTGCCGAGCTGAGGTTTCATAAGAAGGGGAAAGGGAAAGAACTAGAACGAGACTATCGATCGAGGAAGAAGGCGGTCGCCGAGCGGTATCAATGGCGATGATTCGTGGAATCGGATCCGGCATCAAGCTCCTGACCTCTTCGGAGGCCGCCCTTTTCAGATCAGGCGAGTCTGTTTCTTTCCTTCGCCAATTCCAATCGTTTTCGCTGTGCTGCTTTTGGGTATTCCGCTTGAAGATTCGGTTTTTTTATTGGCTTGGGCATCTGGTTGTGAAGTTTAGGATAGTTTGGTTGTCCATTTGTTGGGTCACCAGTAGAATGGGTGGTAGTGTGACGAAAGAGAGAATACTATATGTGATGCTTGTCCATGGATGGTCTAGAAGAGAAATAGGTGCTCTGTGTAGGAGAACACCGTGTATGGATGCAGAATTAGTACGAATCCTCTTTGGTTTCATTATAATGGAGTATAGGGAGAAAAAAGTTCTAATTTTACAAGAGATAGAGCTTTTGTGTCATAATCTTATGAATAATTTTTTCTGAAACCTGTGATATATGGTTGCTTTAGTCTTCAATGTTGGTTGTTGAGTCATAAGTAAACTTCTTTTATGTCCATTTTCTTGACCAGGATCAGAATTATATTCATGTCATTTCAAAAAATTTTGACTGTGGGAGTGTCTGAGTGCTGAAATCCATATGCTTGGGTGGATAAACAGAAAAACAAAAGTTCCTTTTCTAACAGTCTAGTCAAGTTTTAACAGCCAAGTGGTTGTTGTGGCAAATGCATGCATCTTCTTTTAATGGAATAGGGATGGGCATAAACACATGTACAACTTAGAGATCAAGCTTGAAACTATTATAGTAAGACTCTTAATGGAACTCTTTCTTGCAAGTCCTTTGGATATTGATAATATTGGGCAGTGTTGTTTCTGCATTGTATTGATGCTAATGATTCTGTTTCCTTTGGCTAGAGATATTTTCAGTTTTGAAGCTTGTATCTTCTTGCTGTCAAGTTTATCACATTTCCTCAACTTGTTTTGTCTGACTTCGTGGTGCAATAAGGGCAATGAAATACGTATCTATGGGTTAGTCTAGCATTTAGTAGGAGGCTATGCTGATATATATATGATAAGGGAGGTGATGAAGTACATTTCTCATATATTTTCATCATATGATAAAATTTTGATCTTCCACATTTTTGTGTGTGATTCAGGTTTTGTGTTAAAATTATGGATAAAGAATTGGCTGTGAAAATGTGGACGTTAATTTATATCCAATCATAAACCCTAAACCCTAACTTTGGATATCATGCAACTTTCTGTAAAAAATTCAGATTAGGAAATTCAACATGTATATATCTTTATAAGCATATATGCATGAATTTCTAGTTTGCAACAGAATTTTTCTGTATATATATAAACTGGTTGCATACATCTATATATGAAGGTAAATTTTAAAGAACTAACAGTTCTATATGCACTAACATACTATTCATACTTTTATGCATTTATATGACAAACATGCATGTACACATGATGTGCCCTCATTTTTATGTGTTAATGTGTTTCAAAAGAAGTGTTTGGGAAAAAAAAAAATGCTGTATTTTATGCAATTTATAAAGTACATTCAACTATATATGTGCCACATATTTGATCAATATATGTACGCCATGATTTCGAATGCCTTAACTACTTTGATGTCCTATTTTATGGACTGGTTCTCATTAAGAAACCTAGTGCATGATAGAAAAAAGTGTTTTAGTTGCGCAAGCAGAAAACTACAGGCAAGTGGGAATACTACAGGAAGGTCTACCTAAACCTGCAATCCATTGTTTGAGTCATTTTTCAGTAATCTGTGAACTGAAAACTACATTACCCATAACAGTTGAAATGTATGCACCATTCTGTATTCTATATTTTTTAGAATTTTTATTTAACTCTGTCAATTAAACATGTTGCAAGAACTCCATCAAACAATACAATGTCTTATCAATCATATATGCAGGGTGTGGGGTTTATCAAGTACTTATGTTGTTCTACATTTTTTTAGTTGTGTAACGATTTGGGGAATGGAATCACCTATAAAGGAGGGTGAAATGATTAGATCAAAGTTTCTGAATTTTCTGTTTGGATGCTACAAATGTGAACTTATGAACCTACCCCATAAATCTTATGGTATTTCTTTTGTCTTCTAAGAATTAATGATATAAATGATCAAGCTCTATAACATCATACCTAACTATGGTTTTAAACTGTGAATCTTATTATAGCTTAAGAATTAATAACAAATTTTGATTCATTTGCATGTTGGACTAATGAGGGCTTTCATGCAGCAGAAGTAATTAACTAGCCAATATAATTTTGCCACAGAAATCAAAGATTTTTTTGAATTGGAATGTTGGCAAGTCAATGCATATGTTTTGTGTTACCATGGCTTTTGGCAATTTTAACTTGTTGATAACTTGTTTGAGTATTTTTATTTACATATTTTTCTTGTTAACCTATCACACAGTATGGAAAAAATATAAAGTAACACATTAACCATTCTTGGCTGTAAATGAGTTTTGTAGTAATCATCTTAGCCAACATAAGTGCATCCCTGATTATTTTACTTTGCTTATCTAGTAAGTGACTTGAAGGATTCACATCAGAGATTGATCTGTCTGTTCCTGGACATTGAAAGATGTGGTTTTGTCAAATACTTCAATGTTGAGTTATTCAAAGCTGATAGCATTGATCTTGCATTTAAGTTGAATTAGCTTGTTAGAGGATTAAAAGTTTTGTGCTGCTTAGTCAGTTGATTTAAAATACATGTTCTAGTGACCCGTGAGTTCCATGCCACTGGGATGAAGAGAATGGGAGGACATGGCCATGATGAGCCCTATTATCTCCATGCCAAGCACATGTACAACCTGGACCAAATGAAGCATCAGAAACTAAAGGTGGCTCTTTCAGTTTGGTCCGCCTTTGGTATTGGCATGGCTGTTCCAGTTTATGCTGTCATGTTCCAGCAGAAAAAGGCTGCTTCTGCTTGAGATATCAGATAATGTGCACTTAGAAATAAGATCTTTGTTTGATCATCTTGTCACCTGTTGTTGGTCTTTGAGCCTTGCAGTCGGCCTACCGAAACCGAAAACCGGTGGCTTGTTTCTACCTGGTGGTTTCTTGTTAACTTGTTTCTTGGTTTAAATCTTCAAACCTAAGCCAGACTTGGTTGTTTATACAGAGGTTTGATGCTTATGGTTTTATGTGCTGCAGAAGGGTTATATCCTTGCTAGTTGGTACTATGTTACAATTGTCTTTCCCACTGATGCATTTAATTCATCGGATGAGACACTTGTGCTTATTTTTCACCTGTTTTGTTGTTGATGATAAATTTCTTAAATCCTGGTGCATGAGCCACAACTTCTCCGATTTATGAAGCTCACTGGTCATTCTGATCTGTGGACTTGTTAGATGACGGATCACTTTGGCACATAGCATATTATAACTTAATTAGTCTTACATTAGAAGTTGGTTGTGATGGTTTATAGGAATACTATAAGCAAGGTATGCAATACCGTATCGTACTGGTGTTTCGAGATTGAGTCGGTACGGTACGGTATCAGCGTATCGAGCGTATACCAGGGCGTACTGAGTGATACATCCTGGTGTACTGAATAATTTTATATATTTTCTTCATTACTGTAGCACTGTTACAGTGTAATACTGTAGCACTATAGTGGTACCGGACGATCCGTGTATCGGTATGTCATCGGATCGGTACGTATCGCTCGTACCGAATGATACCATGCGGTACTGCATACCCATGACTATAAGTTCATCAAGTTTATAAACACTTAATCTTAGAGGGTGGAGACCTATTAATTGGGTTCAGAGAGAAAATAATATCCACCATTACATCGAACCTTGCATATACACTTTTTTTATTATTTTTAGTTACTATTTATATTATGAAAAATAAATAAATAAATAAAAATTTAGGTAGTTTATAGCTTCATCAAACATTCAAAAAGTATTGTGCTTCTATGAATAAGGAAACTTTCACTTAAAACAATTAGTTACATCTTCTCTCTTCTTTTTTTTTTCTTTTTTTTTTAGTTCCGACTATACTAAAATAAACACCTTGGATTTAATATCTTTAATAGAACACAAATTTGATCAAAAAGAAATAGAGAGCCTTATAAATATTAAGAACAATCTTGATTTAATCATTTCTTTTTAAAATCGATTAAGTCGTCGTCAATCAATATTGATATTAGATCGAGCGTAATAGAGATTTCAATCTTGGATAGCATGAACTCGAAAAAGTCAAGCCAAGCATTGTGTTTAACAATACATTAGGACTAGTCTTAGCATGGGCATCATTTTTGTTACAATACATTCAACCATCAATAGCACTAATCCTAAACTTTAAAGAGGAGAAGCAAAAAGTCTTCTAATCATATGCCACCAAACTACATACCTTCAAATCTAGTGCCAAGAAGAAGCAATCTATCTTAATTTTCTTGGTATAACAATGTCAAATAATGTACTTGCAACACCTCCATTACTATTCAATGCCTTGATCTCTAGGATGATGGAGAAGCGAAGTTTGGAGTTTCGCCCCATTAAAACATTGAATGAGTTTAGGTGGGAGAAGATGGAAGGAAAGTAGTTCTCCACCTACTTCCATCCACTAAACTCATCACGTTGTTTTCATTTCATTCCCACCTCAAGTCAATGGCTTTGATTCTGATCATATACCCATTTGTTCCTCATTCATTGCATGGGTTCTCCCCATCATCGAATAAATTGTCATGCACGCAACATGATATGTAGTATTTATGTTATATATATATATATCTATAATTACCTTTGGAGAAAGTTTGCTTTAACCTTGATCTAAAGGAATAGATTGCTTCCACCCTCAACCTCAAAGAGATCATCATCATCAGGTCATTCTCAATAGAATTTTAAATGGCCGGCGGCAGCACCCTTCCGGGAAGGGCAGAGCAGCAATAGCTTGCCCTACCATGGCTTGGTGGTAGGTGACTTGGATGCGGCATCGTGGATGCCGTAGTGTTCTGCCCTTCCAGATAGGGCAGCCATGCAAATCCCGCGCGGGTCACCTCCGACCGTCCATCCATTCACCACTTTCGATCTCGATCGTCCGTTCATTCCCATCAGATTTAATTTCATCATGAACCATTGACGTCGATCATAATGATGGCAAGCTTTCGTTACGTGCTTCCACCGTTAGTCTTAATTAGTCTGACGTGTAAAAGCGCATCGGTGTCACGGGGCGATGCACCCGTCACACTCCGTTAACAGCGACGAACCCAACCGGGACTCCGGCCCATATAAACCCACCCGGCCCGGCCAATCCTGGACATCGGTTCACTGGGCACCGAGAGTCCACCCTCCCGGCGGATGTATTCCCACGTGCGCATTTACTGGATGGCAGCACCAGCCACGTGCATCTGGACGGGTTCGGTGGCCCTGACGTGGACCTCCTCGTGTTTCGTGCAGCGCCGTCGGGAGATGATGCTGGCCGTCCGATGCGTCATTGTGGTGATCGTGCCACTTCGTGGGACGAGCGGAGTCAACAGATCTGGCGGAGGAAGGTGCCGCGTGGGCCCGCTGCCTCCGCTAGCTGTCATTGGTTGCTTCCACGCTAAGAAGTGGGTCCCCGAAATTAGGTGGCTAATTCTTTCCCAACCTTTTGGAATCTGCATGCCGGTCCATCTCGATTCGACAATAATATTAGATGTTATGCAGCCCATTGAGTAGTAAATTCAACCAGAATGCATAATTTTGGTTTCTTTTAATTCTAAATGTGGTGGGTGTAAACGTGTGAGAAGGTGGGTATGACTTCGAAGTAAACAAGACAGGCACCGGTTAAAAGACCGAGATCGAATCACGAATGAAGAGCTCCACACCTACCCCTCATCTTATCCCTCCGCGCCCGTCTTCGTTGAACCCACTCCGCTTACCTTTCTGGTGGTCGAAGAGTAAAGCACGGGTCTCGTGTGGGACCCGTCCGGGCGCCGAGTAGGCTGGTCGCACAGTCAATTATCCACTAGTCTTATCACCGTGCAGCGCGGTATACGAGGCGACCGGGAACAGCCAACAACCCACCACCGTGAGCCCGCGGAAAAGACCAGCCGCAGACCACGTGCAGTCACCGGACACCGGCCGCAGCCGGTCGCCTCTCCAGCACGGGGCAGAGGGAGCCCAAATACATGCCGGGCATTTCGCACTTCTTTTCTTCGCCCGCGGCCTACAAATAACACCTTCTGCCTCCTATGCTCTCTTTTTCCCTTCTCTGCTTCTCCTTCGTCCCCTTACGTCCGCCGCCCGGGCCCTCCTCTCTCTTCCATCTTCTTCGGCCCTCGACGGTTCGTGCCTCATCTCATTCTCGATCGAATTCTTCACTTGTCCCTTATTTCCCCCCATTTTTATTTTTTTGGTTCATTCGGTTTCTGTCGTTCTTCGCTTCATTGTAAAGGTACTCTAGTGCTTAACATCGGTCATTTTGTTGTTTTTTGATAGGTTGTAGCGGTCATATTGTGTTCCGTCCATTAAATGCAGCTCCTTTTATGGATATCCTACTTGTACTCTGCTTAATGGGGATTTGGCGATGCTTTTGGAGTTTAAATGTGAATCTTTGATGCAGTTGATAAGGGTTTGCCTCGAGAATGGTTGACGGAATGGATGTGGCGCACGAGATGGTTCTCTGGAAGGTGGAGCCGCAGTGCTCGATTTCGGAGGCCGACGACTTCGAGCGCCTGTCGCGGCTACTCGATCGGCCAAGGGTTAAGATCGAGCGGAAGCTGTCGTTCGACGAGCGGTCGCTTAGCGAACTCTCCGTCACAGGGAATCTCAGGCCGGTCGACAGCTACGACAGCTTGTGCTCCCCCGGTGCGGGGAGGTCGGTCTTGGACACGCCGGTCTCGTTGTCTCGGAACTCGTTCGAGCCACATCCGATGGTCGGGGAGGCGTGGGATGCCCTCCGTAGGTCCATCGTGTTCTTCAGGGGTCAACCGGTGGGGACGATTGCCGCCATTGATCATGCATCAGAGGAGGTTCTTAACTATGACCAGGTAGAACAGATACCCATTAGATCCCGTAAAGGTGACATCTTGGACTTGTTCTTTTGGATACACCTGTATCTTGCTTATTTGATCCAAGTCTTCCTTAACCAGCAGGTTCAAGATAATTAATATATTGTCTACAAGACAAGCCTTTTGTCGACAAGATAATTAATAGACTTCATCTTGCCTTCCTGAAAAGTTGTTGTTATTGTGTCTTTAGGGTTCTATTGTTGTTCAGTCAGAAGGTTCTATCTACTGATTCACTTGTTATATGTTCAATGAGGAATTTTGCAGTTCATCTTAGAAACTTTACCCGTAATCCTTCACTGCAGTGGTGATAGATGTTCTTTCTGTCTCGCATGTAGGTGTTTGTCCGTGATTTTGTGCCAAGTGCTATGGCTTTTCTCATGAATGGTGAACCTGATATAGTGAAAAACTTCCTGTTGAAAACACTCCACCTTCAGAGTTGGGAGAAGAGGATAGATCGCTTCAAACTCGGGGAAGGGGTGATGCCAGCCAGCTTCAAGGTGAACCATGATCCTGTTAGGAAAACTGATACTCTAATGGCAGATTTTGGTGAGAGCGCGATTGGGAGGGTTGCGCCTGTTGATTCCGGTTTTTGGTGGATTATTCTTCTTCGGGCCTATACAAAATCTACTGGAGATTTATCTCTAGCAGAAACACCTGAATGCCAGAAGGGAATAAGGCTTATTTTATCTTTATGTCTTTCAGAGGGTTTTGACACATTTCCAACCTTGCTATGTGCAGATGGATGCTCAATGATTGATCGTCGAATGGTAAGTTCATTAATTTCTTGCTTCAGTGACAGCTGCTTGTGTTTTTCTCTATGGTTATATTTGCCTTTTGAATTATCTAATTTACAGTTTTGTTTCCTCCAATAAGTTTGTATTTTGGTCTTTGTTTCACTTGAGTGAAGTGAATTTAAATGATGTTGAGAAGAAAATCATATAAAGTGCAATGGCTGGATGGATGGTTTTCTTCTCACGATGATGCTGAGTGAACCAGATTATCTTGATTGAATAAAACTATATAGCCAAAAATTTGATGGCATATTACTTACAGAAGAGAAGCATGGTACTCCCGAGTTCCGATTTCCTTAACATTTAAGTAGTTTTTAGCCTGTTTCTTTATCCATTGGATGGGCATTCTAGATGGATTGACAGGCACAGTAGATTATGCATTTTTCTGCAGTTTTGGAGCCTTGTCGATGCAACATAAGATCTAACAAAATCATGTTCTTTTTGAGATAAATGAAGCACATAGTCAAAGCGTTTACTGTGCTGTATTCGTGTGTTGATAGTGAGCTACATTTTCTGAACTAGTAGTTTGATGACCAAGTATGTTGAAGGCAATAACTAGATAATCAACTTAAAAGTGTGTTTTGTAAGGATATCATACAGACCACAGGTTGAAGTAACTATCATGTAGTTCTACTAGAGTAGATAAATATGCTTTATTTTTGAGGTCAATCTTTGCAAGATAAACTATTAGATATGTATAAAGTTCATCCTCAGTTGTACTTATTGCACTCTAGTCTATTCAGATCTTTGATGCATATATTTGCAAATGATCGCCTTATTGGCTAAGCATGTCTATCGACCTTTTTTTAATCATAGTAATATGCTTTCTCTGGTGCAAACAAAATTTGTAGGGTGTTTATGGATATCCAATTGAAATCCAAGCCCTATTCTTTATGGCTTTGAGATGTGCATTAGCAATGCTTAAACCTGATGTAGAAGGCAAGGAGTTCACGGAGAGAATTTTGACACGACTGAACGCCTTAGGTTATCACATGCGAAGTTACTTTTGGCTTGACTTCCAGCAGTTAAATGACATATATCGCTACAAGACCGAAGAATACTCTCATACAGCAGTTAATAAGTTCAATGTCATTCCTGATTCAATCCCGGATTGGATTTTTGATTTCATGCCTTCCCGTGGTGGTTACTTTGTTGGAAATGTCAGTCCTGCAAAGATGGACTTCCGATGGTTTGCCCTCGGAAATTGCATTGCGATACTATCTTCACTTGCTACCCCAGAGCAATCAGTTGCGATAATGGATCTAATCGAAGAGAGGTGGGAGGAGCTGGTTGGTGTAATGCCCCTAAAGATATCATATCCAGCTTTAGAAGGCCATGAATGGAGCATCGTGACAGGCTGTGATCCCAAGAACACCAGATGGAGTTACCACAATGGAGGATCTTGGCCAGGTTAGTTGAGGTTCTTTTCATCGTTTCGTTGCATGATATGATTCCTTAGAGAATTATTATGGAGAAACTCATATTTTGCTGCAACTGTAATTATTTTATTCAAGAAAGCTACTGAAGAGATACCTTGTTGATTAAATAGATTATCTATTTCTTGGAAAAGTCTAAATGAATATGTTTTTCATTACAAAGCAGCAAGTCCATAATATGGTCAGGTGATGCTATGAATTAGGAGCTTTAATTTTTCGTCTGTCTGCACTAAATTGATGATACAGGAAATCATATACTAAATGCAACTTTGTCTTAAAATTTATTCTATTAAGATATGTGCTTAATAGAATGTATAAAGTTTATCTTTAACTGCAACTTTGTCTTTAATTTTTCTTCTGTTTGCTCATTATTTGTCAAATCTTTGAATGTATAAAGTTTATCAATTTCATATGCTCATACTAATATGTGCTTATGAGAGTAGGACAAAACTTGGAATGAAACAACACGAATTGTTAAAGAATGAGCATAACTACTGCATCGACTTTAGTTTTGAGTCTTTTTCTCTATATGCATTATAACCAGAAACACTCTGCAGCTTCTCTTAATTTGATTGTTCAACATTGTATAATTTTTGCGTTTCTCTTTAAACTTCACTGTTTATTGCAGTACTTCTATGGCTGCTCACTGCAGCCTGCATCAAGACAGGCAGGCCGCAGATTGCGAGAAGAGCAATCGAGCTTGCTGAGAGCAGGCTGTGGAAGGACGGCTGGCCCGAGTATTATGATGGAAAACTCGGAAGGTACATTGGCAAGCAAGCAAGGAAGTTTCAGACATGGTCCATCGCCGGCTATCTGGTGTCCAAGATGATGCTCGAGGACCCTTCGCATCTCGGAATGATCTCTCTCGAAGAGGACAAGGTGAAAAAACCTCTGATAAGGCGATCGGCTTCATGGACTGCCTGAAAGACAACCAGGAGGCACCAGATGCAAAAAAAAAAGCTTGGTCTCACACCATTCTTTGTTGGAAATTTACCCTTCTTATGTCCATTTTTTTGTCCCAACTCAAAAAGGTTTGCTAATCAGCCAGCTTTCTTTATTGTCTGGAAGTCCTATATGTATAAACATCATATAGCATATCTTTCGCCTTCCCTATTAAATGAGCTTTGTAATATTAACCTTGTCTCCAATGTAATGGACTGTGATTCAAGTTATCGAAGTCTAATCAAGTTGGTTTTTGCTGGATTCAGCCTAACTTGGGTCTCAAATCCAACTCTCTGTGAGACACTAAGATCGATTCTTATCTGTCATTAGATCCATGGTGAAGTTGTTGCACAACATGATTGGGATTCTGCATTCTTAAAGCAGAACTTTGATTGGCTTTGTAAACAGGCACTATAATAGGTTTCGTATCGTGTCAAATGGCGGTGACATCCGAAATGTGTTACAATGGTGTTACGGTGATTATAGCGTTCGTTATTTCGAAATCTTGAAGTTACAAAGCTCGGCCAAACGGCGTATCGGTTTCCGCCTGCTTTCTTTCTCGCGGAGATGGCTGGCGAAGGCGAGACCCAAACTGCCGCGGTCTCCGACCCCCTCCTCTCCCCTCCGACCTCTTCTTTAGGCTTCCCCTTCGACGTGCCCTCTCTCCTTTCTTTGTCTCGCCGGGGCCAGTGGCGCGCCCTCCTCGACGCTGTCGCCGACGCCCGCCGCGACTCCCACCTTCTCCCGCACCAACACCTCGCCTGCCTTGCCCTCTCGTCCCTTGCCCTCTCCAAGCTCCGCCGCTTCTCCGATGCCGCGGCCGAGATCGATGCTCTCGATGCCTCGTTCGATTCCCCTCGCTTCCGCTTCGAGACCTACCCCGCCGCCTACCCTGGCCGCTCCGGCTCCATGATCCCTTTCGCCCTCCGCTTCCTCCACGCCGACCTTCCCCAGCGCCTCGGCAGTCGATCCGTCACCCTTGACCGCCTCTACGCCCTCCTCGACCTCGTCCAATACAAGATTCAGGAGGAGACCGTTGCCGCCCCCGCCGCCGATCGGTGGCGCCGCAGGGAGGCCTTCGTGATGGCCACCCTCTGCTGCAATCACTTTGCCCACCGCGAGTTCGAGGTGGTCCTCGCGCTGATCCGGCAGCTCCTCGAGCGGGATCCGTCCGATCCGCTGCTCCTCTCCCGGCTAGGGTACGTGCAGCTCCAGATCGGTGATCTGACCGGCGCTAAGGCATCCTTTGCGAGGGTGGAGAGCCTTCACCCGGAAGGGGAGCGGACGGTGGAGTTGGAGAATCTTGTGGGGAGAAATAGGGCGCTGGAGTTCATTGTGGCCAAGGATTACACTGCCGCGGTGAGGGAGTACGAGGAGTGCATTGAGAGGGATCCTGCTGACGTTGTAGCACTGAACAATAAAGCCCTGTGCTTATTGTACTCGAGGGACCTCTCCGATTCGATCAAGGTGCTTGAGGGGGCACTGGAGAGGGTGCCCACCGGGGCCTTGAATGAGACGCTGGTCATGAATCTCTGCAGCATGTATGAGCTAGCATATGTCAACCATGGGGACGTCAAGAAGAGTCTCAGCAATTGGATTGCTCAGGTCGCGCCTGATGACTTTGACCCTTCTTGTACCCGCATCTGACATTAAGGTATTCCGATCTTGTCAATATGACATTGCTTGTTTCATTTGCTGTGGTTCCTTCATTTCTCTTAGTGTTTTGAGATGCTATTAGGCAATTGTCAAGTGATGCAACATTTGATATTGCATGGAATTCATTACTTTCACCTAATTACAATGGTTATATTACACTGTGAGGACTTGCCAATTCTTCTTCAAAGAGTTGTTGAACGTACATTATGTTGCTGATTCTTCAATATAAATTATATTGAGTCCTTCATACTTAGTTGTCTTAAGTTGAAATCCTGGTTAGTTATTGGTCTAAAGTTGAAATCTTGGATAGTTATTTGTCTTGCTGGATGCCTCCATAAGCAAGTCGTTCCAAATAAACATTGAGGAGAACTCCAGAAGCTTTAGTTGCATGATCTCTTTGGTGTTTGTCATCTCTCCTTAATAAGCAAGCATTTTACCAAAACTTTTGAACTTATGTAAGCCTTCTCTTATAATAATGTGGCTGCACCATGGGCTTGTGGTGTCCTTCACAAGTGCCTAGCATGCTAAACCTGGTTGGCTATGATGATGTGATGATCTTTGGCCGTAGTCCACTTCATAGTGGCTAGAATAATGAAGGCTTGGTGAAGCAACCTAGGCCAAGGTCCTTAGAGCCTTTTCAGACCCATGGGTGATGGAGTGACTGAAGCCTTTTTAATCCACTTGTAATGAAGTAAAGTTTAAGTCTAGTTTAAGCTTTCCAACTGAGCTGTAATGGTAACACATTCATACTTTTTCAATTTTTTGTTATTTTTGGGTGTATTTTTTACATCCATTTTAGTTCATGTTATGGAGTCCTTGGATTCCAATTTTGTGCTTCTTTGGTACCTAGGAGTCCTAATTCCATTGTAAGTATAGGCTAGGTAGTCTTTGAGGAGGCACCCTAGTGGTTAAAATGTTGTGTGAGCAATAAATAAATCTTTTGTTATTAACATCTAGTGCTCATATTCTTAATGTAATACAAATGTAGAAAATTTTCTTTTCAAATGATAGGTTAGACAAATTGTTCAGCTAATAGGAGCTCTATTTGTGAAGTTGTGGAGGTCTCTTTTTATTACCAAAGAAAAAAAGCTCTTTCACTGAATTTCTTAGTAGGCTACATTTAGAGATGATTGTAAGCCCTTGATGATTGTTTGTTGCTTGATAATTTTATTTATGCAAGAAAAAAGTTTTATGAAATTAGTTTCTTCTCTATTGATAGAGTGTGGGCTTTGGTGTCATAGTAAGATTGCTCTTTTATAATCTAGATGATTAGTATTGTGTACTAGTATATTTGATCTTTAGTTGGCAGAAGCCTTGTGTACTAGTATCTTTGCTCTTGATATGTACCATGAGGTGTTATCTTCTTGAAACCCTCATAGGAGGGTCATAGACTATCAATGGTATCTCAGCAAGACAATCAGTTACAATTGTCATGGTGAACCATGCATCAACCACATTTTTTATTAAGAGGCTTGGTAACAAGCTTGCTATGTTAGTGGCTAGTCTAATAGAATTTATTGCAGAGATCACTGACCATGCTTTCGAGGAAGTTCAAGACCGAAATTAGTATAATGCAGTAAGACAGTGGCTTCCATGACATCAGTTTCTTATGCGCGCACACACACACACACACACACACACACACACACACATATATATATATATATATATGTGTGTGTGTGTGTGTGT